CCCGTATTTGGATTACCGTAATGACGAGAATATCAACGGCGTGCACAGCGTCGCTGCTTTCAGAAACCATTGGAAGTTTTAAGGTTGCGCGAACCATTGAATAGTTACGTAACCGTAAGGGTGTATGCTTGGTGGAACACTCCATATCCCACAATTCATAGCACGCCTCTACCGAGTGAAACAATGGCGGCTGCCACCTCGTTTTTATATTCCTCTTATTCGTGTTTCTAGGTCACAAAATAAACTTTTAAGATATTTTCAGGTGAGAATGTAGGTGTGTAAACTTCAAATATCTGCTCGTTTTATCCAGAAATCCCATATTAGCAACAGTTTTCTCACGATGTTGCTGCTAGCCGGCTAGCTAGCTAGCGCTGCTAGTAAGCTAGCTAGCTAGCGCTGCTTAGCTCAAAAGCACCCGGGCTTGGCTTTCAGTGAGGCAGCTTGCACTCGTTTCTCGTCCCCCCCCCCTTGCTCATAAATAGTCTGTGTCTCAGCTGGACTTATTTTTTGTTTATATGGGCCGATGATTCATTTATTCATTTATTCATTTTAGTAACGGTATAAACAGTGAAAGGTGGTTGTCCAGATGCTGGTCGATGTGGAAAAAATAACAGTTGTTTGGTGGTGGCTAACGCGGAGCTACAACAGAAGGCAGCTAGTCACCGGTGTATGACAGAAAGGGCATGCGGGGAAAGAGACATACGAGGCGGCCGCGGATCGACCGGTGGTGGCTGACGCGGAGCTCTATCATGGATCAGGGAAACCGAAGGCAGGAGAAGCAGGCGGCTGCCAGTCGGAGCGTGAGGTGAACTAAATTTCAGGTAAGAAGTTATGAACTGCACTCTATTTGGGTCAGATATAAACAGAGTTTAGGTGTAGTTTATTTTCGTTGTGCTGACTTTTTACAATCAATTACAATAACTCGTAATGCGTGCTAGCTAGCACGACGGAGTTTCTATACAGCTGTGTGCGCTAAGTTACTGATGTTGAACTTTATGACAGCCTCCCCTGTCATTCTCT